TTTTCATCTATCACGAAGAAAAATCAATTTTAGTCAGTGTTTTCGTTGATATTAAATCAATTGTAATCGAAAATAATCGTAATAATCATCAATGAAATTGTGTTTTTTTCGATTAGTTTGAATGAAAAGTCGATTTTTAATCATTTTTTATATGTGATTTTAAATTCAATTTTTTACCCACACTTCGGACAAAATTTTTATAGATCCTTCCAAAATTTTAAGAGTCGGGCCAACCTTGTGCAGCTTAGTTGGATGTGCAAAGATACGGATCCAAACTCTTATAGAGATACATTATCCAGAATATAAACTTCAAAACAGGTCTGTTCTAATTGACTTCTACTATGATTATTTATCTTTCAGATTGACGTAGCTTCAAATAAATGATACAAGCTCAAATATAAACATTTTCAAAGTGTTTATATCGATTATTTGGTTCCAAAGACAATCTATAAATAGTTTCTAACTCTGAAATTATTATTGACTAACGTTTATAGTTTACAAAGGAGATTTCTCATGTACAAAATGAGTTTGGAATCAAAATTATGTTAATTTGATGAATACTAGCGAACGATGAAGTAGTCTAGAAAGATTTTGATTTCAAGATGCTCCCTCTTACAAAATCGAATTTTACTGAACTTCTTTGACAAAAGTCCCTTAATTTTTTTTAGTTCATTTTGAACGTTTCAATTTTTCTCGTTAGCTCTATCGTAAGACAAACGTTGGAAATTCTATTTTGTGACGAAACAAATATTGTGCTTGTATTTGTATTTCACAATTGAAGTAATTAAAAGAGCTGAAACTTTTACAATGAATAAGTCTAATTGAAAACATTATTTGTGTGAAGTTTCAAATCGAAACTGGAATTTCAACTTTCAAAATGACTTGAGAGAAACTACGCTGTTTTGCCTATCTATTTCTCCGAAACCTTACAAATGAAAGAATTTAAATAAGCACAGAGAATCAGTGTCAAGTGCCTAACATCAATACACAAACCACCAAGTTATTACCTACTCCAACTGTAGAGATGATGGTTCCTGATTCTTTGTGTCTGTCCACTATGGTTCGTCCCTGACTATGTTTTGTAGAGGAGCGAAATTCTCTGGTAACACTTCTAGAGAAAAATCGGCCTTGATAAGAGAGAAGGCTGAGCCTTCTCTAGATTCTGTCTGGACAAACTACTACCTTTGTGTAAAATCAATACGGAATGTGTAGAAAAACACAGATAGAATCTGAATTTTTAGTTTGAAAATAGAATACATATTACATCCCATATTTCACAAAACAATTACTTTTGTTATTCATTAGTACAAATTGAAAGCAAAGTTCATCAATGTGTTATATCGGTTTTTTTGCTCCAAAGATCATTAGAATATAATATATATTATTAAATACTATTAACTTCATCAGAAATTAATCACCGATTGACATGTCAGATTTTAAAAGAAATGCATTTTCTTTTTTGAGTCACGTATGCATATAATGTTCTTTTGGATGCTTACATTATCGTAGTTTTTTTTCATATTTGTATCACAGTTAGTATTAACGTTCTTATGATGTTCTAGAACTCGAAAGATAGATACAAAAAAATTGATAAATATGCAGTTTTATAAATGAAGTTATTTGTTTTTTTGTGCAAGTCATCAATAATTTATTTTTCATCTAAAAGATCTACGGAAATTATTAGAATTAACTATTTTTTATTGTAGTTATGGATATCAGATTATCCATTCAGGATGATTTGTAGCTAATCAATATCAATTACGATATATATTCATTTTACATAAATCTATAGATTAATCAACTGGATCGGTACTATTTATCTGGCAGAATACAAAAAAGAGTTTGTTTAGAAAAAAAAAATTTTTTTTTTTTTGAAAGTGACAAAATGGAACATAGTGAACAATGCTTGAGAAAGATATAAATAAAAATATTGTTAACTACGTCAGTGATTAACATTATTATTTTAATTGTAAACATGTATAAAGAAAACTTTTCAGATCGATAATTAACTAACAATGGAGGTGTTTGTACTGTCCGTGAGAAAAATGGGATATATTCGGGTCAAATGAAAGCTCTCACCGAGAAACTAACAAGGTTAAAATATTAGCTGCCCTTGGCTTACCTAGGGGACGATATTCGATTTTTCAGGAGATTTTCCCTGCAGGACTCCAGGTTTCCAGCAAAATCATATTTTCGAATTTCGACCTGAAACTTTGTACACATGAAGGCCTCGACTAGACTAGCTTAAAAAAAAAATTTTAGAAGTTTTGGACAATCTCTCACCGAGATATGAATTTCTCAAAATATACAATATCTATGGAAAAGCGTCTATATTTTGAGAAACTCATATCTCGGTGAGAGATTGTCCAAAACTTCTAAAATTTTTTTTGTAAGCTAGTCTAGTCGAGGCCTTCATGTGTGCAAAGTTTCAGGTCGAAATTCGAAAATATGATTTTGCTGGAAACCTGGGGTCCTGCAGGGAAAATCTCCTGAAAAATCGAATATCGTCCTCTAGGTAAGTCAAGGGCAGCTAATATTTTAACCTTGTTAGTTTCTTGGTGAAAGCCTTCATTTGACCCGAATAGATCCCATTTTTCTCACGGACAGTACAAACACCTCCATTGTAAGTACAAATATTTGTAGTATAGTCTGAGAAAAGAAAACAATAATCATAACACTGATTTTCCGTTTGAAAAAAAAAACAAAACTCAAGTTTAAAATCAATATTTATAACAATAATCTTGAAGTTGAAGAATGTATATTTTGTATGGCAAAATTTTTTTGACATTCTTTGTTTTGCAGTAACTTTGTTTACGAACATGATAAAATGTTGATTGTTTTTTTTTTCAAAATATGTACCATTGAATTTTCTATTGGGATCACAAGGCGAAGTCTTTATAACTATTTTCGAAATTTTAATGTGTCACTAACATTTGAAAGCATGTGTCATTATGTTACATCCCACAAGAATAAAATCAAAAAGTTTTGATTTTTTAAAAGACAATTAAGAGCATTGTTGATGAAATCAATGTTAGATAAAATTTTCAACGTATTTTCATGATCTTCATCTGAAGTCAACTTCTCATCGTATTATTTTGGAAAAATTTAATTAATTTTTAGTCATTTTTCTTTGAACAGTGAAGAAAATTTAATCTTACAATTTATGTATCGAGCTCACTGTTTTTAGACAATAGATTTGAGAGCAACGCAGCAAAAAAACACGTTATATTTCCAGATGAAGCATCCAGCTCAATTGAAATGAACGTTATTTTTCACTTGTATTTGAGATGAAGACGAATGATACTCCTCATGCTTTGAGAGTCAAACAAGATCTCTGATTGGTTTCAAATATTATACCCAAAATGAATGAATAAAATTTAACAATTTTTCAACCTTCTCTTATTTTTTTTCTTATAGGAAATAATACGACAATACACTTGTTCAATATTATCAATGTATTTTAATTTTGAAAATAGCTATAAAGATTAGATCTTGTGATTCAAATAGAAACATTCAGTGATGCATCTTTTGAGTAAAAACAAAAGATTAAGATTCTATCATGTTTCTAATTAAGGTTGCATGCAAAACAAAAAACGATAAAAATGGGTAAAATAATTGACAGGATTTAATATGAAAGTTGTGAAAAAGATGTAATATTATTGAATAATATTTTTCAAATATAAATCTACATTTCATTAATAGCAGAAATGTGAAATCAAAAAATGTTTGTAAAATTATATCATTGTATACTTGCATAATAATTATTCGATACTTGAACATTTTTGATTTGTTTAATCTATATATATACTTTTAGTATACAATTCCTGACAAACATGTATAGATACATGAGAGAATCATATTTGATTAATAATATATTATATTAGATAAATTATTTTTTATGTGTTTAAGACAATGTCGACAAGTTTTTTTTGTTTTTCTTGTTATCGTATTATTTTCTATGTCAAACATTTGGTTCTAAATCGGTTTATTCTGTAATGAAAGCGTTCGGTAGATGTTCTACAAGAAAAGATAGAAAAAAATTTTTCTTTTTTGAATTTTGTATTATGATCGTTGTTTGTTAGAAAAATAAAGAAAAGATACGAACTACATCGATTTGTGACATTATTTACTTATTCTGACTAGGTAATTTTTTAAGAAAAAGAAAATGAAAAAAAAAAAAGATATAAATTTTATCCCTGTTTAAACAAGGGTTTTTTTTTAAGAATGTTTTTCTTGTCGTGCTTTTATTTTGCATCGGTGATGAATCTTGTCAACAGAAAGATTAATTTGAATATAAAATAATTCAGTAAGAAATAAATTGATGAATATAAATGAAAAAAGAATTATTATATGTAACAAAACAAGAAATATATCAAGATTTCATCAGAGCAAAGCAAATTTTAGATTGTAAGTTTTATTATTCTGAAGAAACTGGTTTCATGGAAATTTTTTCAGGACATACGAAAAAAAAAACAAGTAGAAACTAAATAACACGGAATAAAAGATAAACATTGAGATAATAAGAGAACAATAGTGCGTCAATAGTGGAATTGTTGCCGAATAATAAGTCAAAAATTGCAATTAGACAAGTGTTTACCTTTGTTAACTGATGTTTTTATAGTTATAGAGAAGAAACATAAAGGAAGATAGACGAAGACTAGTATATATTGACTCAACCTACTTTTTTTCTATATGCATTTTAACTAAAGAAATTTTCTTACATAGGTTGATCATTTTTTAGATTACAATCATTAGTTAGTCTTTAATCAATTGCAGACAGCCATTATAATTTCAAGAAAATTGATTTTGCTATTTTACTTATTTAAGATCATCTCTAAAATCAATTCGGAAAGATCATCACGATGGTTCATAGAATTCATTTGAATATAATTTCTTTTTTTATTGCTTGCATCTTATTGAGTGTTATCACCGTGCAACAGAATACTGATACAACACCAATGCTAGACGAATCGTCAACCAGCATCACAGCGATAGAGGAAATGGTTACAGACTCAACGACTACTATTGATTTAATAATAATAACAACAAGTACAATTGATGCTTCAAATACTATAACATCAGATACAACTGTTGCTCCAGGTATTACAGAAAATATTGCAACGATTGATTTAGATACTACAATATCGACTTCAATTGATGCTTCAAATACTATAATAACAGATACAATCGCTACTCTAAGTACTACAGAAAATATTGCAATGATTGATTCATATACTACAATATCGACTTCAATTGATGCTTCAAATACTATCATAACAGATGCAATCGTTACTCCAGGTATTACAGAAAATCTTGCAACGATTAATTCATATACTACAATATCGACTTCAATTGATGCTTCCAATACTATCATAACAGATACAATCGTTACTCCAAGTACTACAGAAAATAGCACAATGATTGATTCATATATTACAATATCGACTACAACTGCTGCTTCAAATACTATAACATCGTATACAAACGTTACTGCAGACACTTCAACAAAAAGTACAACAATTGCTTTAAATTCTGCAATATCGAGTACAACTATTGTTTCAAATGCTACAATATCAAATACAAACATTGCTTCAAGCAGTACAGAAACAAGTGCAATCATTGCTACAAATACTACAGCATCAAATACAACTGTTACTTCAAATACTACAGCATCAAATACAACCGTTACTTCAAATACTATCACATCGAGTACAACCGTTGCGCCAAATACTACAGGAAACAGTACAGCCATTACTTTAAATTCTACAATATCGAGAGCAACAATTGCTTCAAATACTACAACATCAAATACAAGCGTTGCTTCAAATACTACAGCCGCTTCATGTGGTAATTCCCAACAAGAATTGATTTTTATGTCAATGTCATTAATTGTTAGTCTCTTTTTGTCAATAGTCATCAGAAACATATGATGAAAATAAAAAAAAAAAGAACTAATTCTATTTACTTACATTGTTTATTCGTTGCCTTGTTCAGTTTCATTGTTTATGTGATATCATTTCTCTTTGATTATTTTTATCACAATTTTATCTCTTCACATCCTTTTCATCATTTGTATTTACTACATTGTATTAAATTACATCAAAGTATTTAATAAATTTGTCATTAACACCAGCAAAGGTTTTCAATCTTTTATAAATATAGGTCTTTTAGTGCACATGTTTCTTTTATTAGATATGTTATTTTTGTACTTCATGGTTGACTAATGATGACGAAGCGAAGTGTATAAAAAAAGAAACTGATCATGTGGACAAACGGTGTGAGCGTACTCAACCGTATGTAATTATTGCACAAATCATTCCCTTAATACCTGGGAAAAATCATAAAACTAATGATGGACAATACTGATTCATCATCCATTTACGTAGTGCATTGATATCCCACCCATTTTACATTTTTAGTCATTTTATTACAGATAATAATGACGTCTTTGTTTTTTTTTATACATGACATACTGCCTATAAAAAGCAGAAAAAAAAAGTATCGTAAAGTATACAAAAGTTGCATACATATATTCATTGATCAAAAATTATCATTGACAAAATAAATGTAAGTATTATCCTCAGTTAAACTTTCCTAGATTATTTGAAAAGTTGTTAATCGTGGTTTAAAATAGTTGAAGCGATTTTCATCTGATGAGATAGTTATTTTCTATATTAAGTATTTACCTACAAAGAAATAAATATTCATTTTCTATAATTTTTTTGCTCATTTGTTCGTACAGTAATCTCTATAATTAAATAAGTTCACTAATATTAAACAAAGAAAATACATGAGAATATTTATAATATGTAAAAAAAAAAAAAAGGTCAAATTAGATTAATGTAATTGATCATACAGCAAAACAGAATCCACAACATAATTGTTTCATGGGTAAAATTTACTTAATCGATTTCACACTTATATATTGAAGCTGATGTCAAAGAAGGTAGAACAAAATTCTATTAAAAAAAAATATTGATTTGTTCGTCTTAGTCGATTTTTTTATTTGTTCGTTGTCTTATTTATATTTGTCCTAAGACATTTCATCCTGAAATTGTTACTTCTTAAAAAAATAAAAATAGAAAGTAATGTTCTGGAAACGTTATTTTTCTTCACAGTAACATCTTAGACAAAGTAATCCAAAAAAAACTAGTATCATTAAACGATTTTTCTCCCAAAAAGAGACAGAAATCATCAAAAATAATTATATATTACTCGATGACACTGCAAATTATCATCTATTTAGAATGTATATATGATTTGATATAGATTCAAGAATTCGTTACGAATATATAGTTTTTTTATTATTTCAATTAAGTTAAAACATACAGGACAAAAACTAAGACTACAGATATAAGAAAATTTATTTTTTTCTCAAAATAACTCTTACGTTTTTATAATTCTATTTCTAAACTTTTTTGAAAATTGGTTCTTTTTCTAATTTAACATCAAAAACTGAATACAAAAAAAAAGAAAATTTTCTCAGATATAAAATAAATAACGCAAGAAGTCGCTCACAATATATGTAGATTTACAGAATGTCTTTATAGATATTCATGTACACCTATCTAGGTTTTTTTTTGTATGATAGAAGATACAATCAAATTTTGTATTTCATTAGCATGAGACGGTTTCTAGCTTAAAACGTTCTCATTTTGTTTTATTGTTGAGAAAATCGAACATTTCTTTGTTTTAATCGTGAAAAAAAGACCAATAATGACCTTGTCTATTCCAGTTTCTATTATCAAAACTCGGTTGAAAAACAAAATAAATGTAATATTTGAAATTAGTGTGAAAATCTATATCAGATCACATATACGTTAGCAAAATTGCTTTTTCATGTAAAATGCAATTGTACTTGCCGTTGGCAATATTCTTCTGAAATTTTGCTTCTGAGAGATTTGCCACTTGCTATAGAATTCGCTACAATATATTTGGCACGGTATAGATTTTCATCTTGATTTCAATGTGTCATTTATTTTGTTTTCCAACTGAACTTTAATAATTGAAAATGCAATAAACCAAGTCCATGTTAACCTTTTTACTAATAATCAGAAAGAAGAAATGTTCGATTTTCTCAACAATAAAACTAAAAACTTACTTTTGTAACTCAAAACAAACTCATTCAAATCAGATAAAACATTTGATTTTATCTTCTGTCACAAAAATACTAGACAGGTTTACAAAAATATATGTAAATATGTACTTTAAATCTATATATATATATTGATCACGTTTTTTTACATTATTTATTTTGTACATCAGAAAGAAAATAATTTCTATTCAGATTTTGATGCTGAATTAGAAAAAAAGATTATAGGAACTTAAAAGTTATTTTGAGGAAAAAGTGATTTTGCTGAGATATATGGTCATATCAATATTTCGAACTTTTCGTGGCGAAAAGGTAATATAATTGAAATAGAAAGTATACATTCATGCCCTCTTCTTCAAACTGTATCAAACCAGATACAACTCAATGAAAAACAAAATGCACTCAAATTTTGCGTTATGAACCCTTTATGCTATCTGATTAGAAAATTTCACACTTGTCAATCGATTTAGTTGTTAGAAAATTCATTATGATCATTTAAAAGATAAGAACAATATTTTCTATTTTAACATATCTTATTTACTTAAATCAAATTTATCAAAGTTTTCTATCAATTAGAATTTTATTTCTAATCTATTTTCATAAGTTTGTTCTTCATAATTTCATGGTTTTTCTTCAGTAATTACAATCATGTTATATCGATTCAATAATACAATGATCAAGATCTTTTTGACTATACTTTTGGCTATATGGGCTCTACAAATTGATGCACAAAATGATTCAAGCATAGTTGTTGCTGCAAACACTACAGCAACTCCGTTACCTTATACCAATGCCACAGTAACAGATGTAGTGACAGCCAATAGCAGTACAACAGAAATAACTCTTGGACCGACAAGTCTTACATCTAATACAACTGTCTTGGAAAACTCAACTATGGCCACAAGTGTGTCAACAGACACAACATTCTCGACAGATGTAACTACAGTGTCAAATACCTCGACAGATTCAACAATCATTATTGTATTGACAAATTCTACAGCCATTATTCCTACCGTGGAAAACTCAACAGGAACTACAGATTCGTTTACAGATACAACTGGGTTGACGAATTTTACAAATTCGAATTTTTCAACAACAATTGTATCGATTAATGTTACTGGTAGTGTAGGTACAACAGTAACAACAAAAGTAACAACAGAAGCAACAACGGCAGCAACAACAGAAGCAACAACAGAAGCAACAACAGCAGCAACAACGGCTGCAACAACGGCAGCAACAACAGCTGCAACAACAACAATACCTACCACTATACGGACAACAACGAATCATGGTACTTTTTTTTATCCGAATAATTTACTTTATATTCTTATTATTCTCTTGTTTGTTATCTTTCAAATAAATATAATTTCTCTATAGTAATTTCTAAGTTTAATTCTTTATTTATTTTTTTTTGCTGATGTAAGTATTTTAAATTGAAAACATATAAGTAATAAATAAACAACGAAAACAACGAGTAAACAAAGATATCGATACACAGGTATCGAAAAAGGAGAAAAAGAACACGAATATACACACAGATAAATACGAAATTAGTCAAAAAACTACCACTGCACAAGAAAAGAAAAAAGAAAAATTTTGATTTTTTTTTCTTCCATAAAACCTGTTTATATATATATATATATCGATTATTCACTCTTCATTGTAAAATCTTTTAAGCTCATCTGTTAAACAGAAAAGCAAAAATGATTATAGTTTGACATATGAGCAAAAAGAAAACGCTTTGTTTTTTGTTTTTTGTTTTTTTTAAAATATCTATCCCTGAGAAGAAGAGTTGGCAATATGGAAGGTAGACAAAAACAAGAAAAAAAAAAAAAGAAAACACAAATGAAATTTATTGAAGAATATCACTGTTGTTGTTCGCTTGTCAAAGGCTCCTATTTAAAATAAACAAACAGAAAAAAAGATAATTATTGGAATTAATTATTTATTCTTTTTTTTATCTCACGATTCGTTTCGTTGATGATAAACTAAATGAATTTATTGCTTGAGCAGTTCCATTACCACCACCACCACCATCATCATCATCAGTTGTTCGTAAAAGATCATCATCTGTTGTACGTTCTTCATGTCTTTCATCATCATCTTCATCATCATCCGATGTTAAAAGTGATTCTTCATCTGTTCGACTTCCACTATCATTTTCAATAATATCATTTGGATTATTACTCTTATGATTACTACTAGTAATCGATGTTTTTCTAAAAATTTAAATAGACAACAATTTATTTTTATTTATTTTTTGATAATAATCTTTTACGAAAGTAGTTTATCATTATGATTTGTTTTATTTTCATTGATAGAATTAAATCCATTTTTAGATTGTGTATTAAGAGTATTATCAACTGTTGTTGGAAGAGATTCAGAACTTTCTAAAAAAAGTAATTGATATTTTAAGAAATTGAAAAAATTTATTTTTTGAACTATGTGTACCAGTATTTAATTGTTGAACAAGTGACGACATAGCTGATGTTAATGAATCAGCTGCTATAAGAAGATCAGTTCGTAGAGATTTTGTATGTTGACTTATTGATATTGGTTCGTTGATGGTTGTTTCTTCAAAAAAAGAAAATCAATAAAAAATTTTTCATAAAAAAAATAAGAAGAATTAAAAATAATTCATTGTATTATAATCTTTATAAGAAAAACTCATTCGATAAAGTTTTTATTTAGATATATAATGGAGAACAAGTCGAAAATCTCAGACTTGTTGTATTGTCTATTGAAACGAAGACAAAAAAAGAAAGATTATCATCAAAATTACCAGTAGGTGTTAATAGATCATGAAGAGGTGTTGGTGGTGTTGAATAACTACGAAATGTAACATTTGAATTAATTTTTCTTGTATTTGAAGTATTTCCATGTGTATGATAAACCATTCGTGATGGTGAAACACTTAAACGACCATGTGGACTCATTGTTGTTGAACGTTGTTGTGTATTAGGTGAATAACGTAAAATTTTACCAAGTGTATCTAATTGTGTTGTTAATTCTTCTCGACTTTGTTGTAAATGATCAATACGTGATTCTAATTGATGTTTACGTGATAATAATGTTTGTAATTCTTGTTCTAAATATGGATTTGTTTCTGTTGAACCAGCACGTCTCATTGAATGAATACGACTACGTGTTGATTGTGATTGTTGATATTGTTGATAAGATGATAAATCATGATGTGGACTTGTACGTTGATGTGGTAATGTTTGTGTATAACGTTGTTCAAGTCGATTCATTGATGATGATAAACCAGATGTTGATGGATAAAGACCTGTTGTACATGCATCTGTATCACTATATGCATGAAAATCATTGGGTAAATTTGAATTAGCATAATCAAGTGAATTACGACGTTTAAGTTGTGCTCGTAATGTATTTATTTCACGTAGAATACGTCTAAGAAACAAACAAATAATAATTCGTTTTGTTTGTGTATATTAGTAAAAATTTCAAAATTGAAACTATAGTTATTCATATTAAAATTGTCAATTCTATAGAAATATAAATAATTTTTTGAATTTAGAAGGAATCATTCGTAAAATTGGAAGTTTTCAATTTTTTTATATTTCAAAAAATATTTAAAGATTGAAATAAATATGATTTCGAACGTTTTTTACTTAAAATTTTCAAAATGAAACACTATAGAAGATCCAAATTCTTCTATTATGAAGAATAACTTTAGTATTTTTTATTTTTCTAATAGTTTATTCTAGTAATGTTCAGTGTTCGTATACATACACAAAGATCACTAAAGCATTGAACACAATGGTATTGGCGTTACTTACAGTATTGAAATAACAACTCTATTAGACTATGCTCTTTTTTTTTCTAGCAATATGTTCTAATGTTTTATTGAGCACAAGTGAGAATGTAGTAAGTAAACTCGAACTGTATCATTCTCATTTTATTCTAATTAATATTTATAAATGAAATTATATATTGATAAACTTATCTTTAATAATCAATTAAAGATCAATCTATTAAATTCTTCTATAGAATTATTTTGAATGTCATAAGAGATTTAAATAATTCATTACTAATGTATTTTTGTTTTATTCCTATGAGTAATCATACTTATACTTATTGACTTTAATAATATTCATTGTTTATTTTACCTATTTTTTGCTTCAAGTTTAGAAATAATTAAACGTTTTTCTGCACTTTGATGATCCATATGCATTGATCGTATAGATGACATAGGCACCATTGTTGATGGTGTTGTTGTTGTTATTGGTATTCTTGAATAATATTGATTATTTGTTTGTAAATTCATTGGACATGAAGAAAATCTTATTGGTGGTTGTATACCAGTTGGATTTTGTTTTTGTTTTTCATTAATAGATGCTAATTGTTGAGCATAATATGCTATTTGTACATGTTCATCCATATCAGCAGATTCATTACCATTTTCATCAATTTTTTTAATATCAGTTTTTGTTGTTGTTGTTAATAATGATCGTTGTTCATCAAAATTGATTGGTTTTGGTGTACTAAGTCGAATAAGTTGTGGTGATGAACATGATGAGATTTGTTCTTTTTCTATCATTAATGGACTTGATGGTGATGATATTGATACTGGTGGATTTTGTTGTTGTTGTTGTTGTTGTAGTACTGGTTGTGATTGTGGTTGTTGTTGTTGTTGATGTTTTATTAGTTGTTGATGTCGTTTTGTACTACTATTTCGACATTTCCATGAAAAAAAACGTGGTGATGATGAGGATGATGATGTTGATGAAGTTGTATTTGGACGACGTTCTTCACTTTTTGGCATACATTGAAATGATCTATTAAAAACAATAAATTTTATTCGAAAAAAAAAGAAATCAAGATTTCAGAATTTATTTTTTTTCCAATAACAAAAACATCATAACAATATCAGTGTGAATTAGTTTTCGAAGATAAAATTAATTGAATAGATGAATACCGTAAACGATTATATGACTTCGTTGGTATTTACTATTTAATATCAAGTTTACAGTTCATTGTAGGAAATGACTTTGAAACATATAGAAAAAAAGTTATTTCTTTGTCTTATAATACTATATGTCGATTAACAAATCATCAAATATTGACATCATCAGAATAAACATTAAAAAATGTCTATTGAAAGTTAGCGATGAATTGAAAAGAGGACTATTAAATAGTTCAGAATCACTAATTTACTGTTGGAAATTTGATAGATAATTGCCTCATATTTTTCTTTTCAAATCTACTATAATCAAAAATATCTACAGTAGAACTTCCTATTAATTAATCAATATAAATTTATTCTTTTGATATTTTATTTGAAATTTCATATTACCTTCGAATTGATTGTCGAAATTCTTTAACAGGTGATGTAAAAAACGTATATTCTTTCATTTCATGTGTTGGTAAATGTTGATCAGATACTCGTCCACGCCAAAAACAATCTTGACATAATTGATATGTTCGATCATGACATTGTTGACATTTATAACGAAAACCAGAAAATGATGCTCGTTGACACGCAGAACATTTAACACGATGAATAACTTTAAAAAAAAAACAAAAGAAAAATGTTCAATATCAAATATTAAAAACTAACAAAAATATTTTACCATTTTCTACACTAATTAAACGATGAAATATAATTAACCATTGTAAACAATTTGGTGTTGTATCATTATAAATTAATGTATCAAGAAAATCATCAAGATTAATTAATGTTGTTGATAAATGTGAAAAAATTAATTGTGCATTATTTGAACGATATGTTGAATATGAAATTTCTTGTAAAGCATATGGTAATGCAAGAATTTCATGTAAAAGTTCATCAATTTGTCCATATGTTAATGTATTCAATGATGATGATAAATATGATGTAAATAAATGACGCATTTTATCAACTAATTTTCCTGTACATAATAATACAAGTACAACACGAAATGAATTAAAACGTATTGATATATTATTATTTGATAATTCATTATTATTATTATTATTATTATAAACATATAAAAACCAAGCTATAGCTGAATGAACACAATTATCAATATGAAGAATTTGTTGTGATGATGGTAAACGTTTATTTAAATTTGTATAAATTGATGTTAAAAATGTTGTTAAACGATTTATTGAAAGATATTGATCATTATTTAATAATGAAGTTTGTATTGGTGTTGGTGTACGACGATTTGTTGGTGATAAACTATTTGAACTTAATTCAGATGATGGCCATGTTAAACATTCTCGCAGTGATTCAATTACATTTAATAAATCAAGAAGATGAACTAAATAAATGATTTTTATATTAAAATTTTTCATATCAAGTTCAAATTGTATTCATATTGTAGACAAGCTGCTATTCGAGAACTAACAGACTAAGCCATTCTTAGAATTAT